ATTGTTGCTAAGCACGTGCTTACCGCATGCTCGGAATGTTGTCATGCGGTTGGAAAACGTGACAAAACTCCCTAATGCATCCCCCCTAGGGTAAATTTGACCCCGGAAATCGATTTCTAGCGTAAAATTGGACCAAGGGGGCAGATTTTCGGCTTTTTTTGCCCGAAATTTTTTTCGATATTTTTATTATTGTGAAATAATATCGCCAGTGACGCAAATTCATATCATCAATGTATGTTTATATAAAAAATTGGCAAAAATCTTCTAAAAGCTCGATTTTGACGCTAAAGATATAAAAATAATCCTGAATATGTGAACTAAACCACCACAACGGGTGTTTCTTTGCATTTTGGGCAATATTTTAAGGATTAGGCCGCTTTGATGTGCAATATTGAATAATATAAAAAGCACATGCACTTTAAAGTGAATATCTTAGCGAATTGACAACATATCAATATAAAAAAAAACATGTATCTACCGAGGAGAATTTCTTCTCTAAATCGCTTCTATTTTTGTTAAAATCGGTCAAGTATTCGAACAGGAATCGCAAGTTATAATCAGCAAACCAGTTCGAAATGTCACCTGATCGGACGGCAATGAGTTAATGTTTGTCTTAACAATTACCGTATCCATTTAAGAATAACTTTGCATCAAATGTGGTGTAACAACTGTCTACTGAAATAGACAAAAAAAAACACTTCTCGACCTAAGGGTCTCCGTCCGGACAAAGAAACAGTTCTCAACGTTTTGACCTATAAGGAGAAGCGTTTTTTTTTGTCTATTTAGGAAGTTGTTATACCACATTTGGTGCGAAGTTATTATTAAGTGGCTACAAATAGAATTCAGGCCCTAATAGCCGCTAATCATGGCCACATTAGCAAAACGGACCTCTTAGATCGGTCACTTTTCACAAGAATTATAAACAATATTTCCTCATATTATACATATTTTCACAATTTATCATGCAATGATGCATCAATGTTGTGATTTTATAATACAAAACAAACAAAATAGAAAATTCTCATGCGACCAAAACTGCGCCGGCTGCTGGAAATCCGGTCTCATTTATTTCTCTTCTCCGAGGAAGCCAGTGGAAATACAATCAAACTTCTAGGTGAGAAAATTGATACCAGATGTTGGAGAATAAGGTTGCTGACTTTTGTTCACATGCAGCCGGCTGTACTTATTTTTCTTGCCTTGGTCCTGTTAAATACCTTTTCAGGTGAGATAGTGTAATGTTAACAAAAGTTACAATGGCTATTACAAAACAATGAGCAGCTTACCTACCCCTGACAAAATAAAGGTAAACGCAAATTTGGATGCTTTCAACTTTTCGCCATTTACCAACTAAAGTTGTTGACTTCAGTGTGTTGATTCTTCTTGATGGAATAACAGATGATCAACTTCAAGTGTGTAATAATAAACAAGTTGTAGCTATGAATTACAAAATAGACATATCTTTACTGAGAAATGGCCCAGAAAGTATAGCATTGAGCTTTGGAATCTGTTCAAAATTTATCCCAAAAAAATTAGTAATTAGTGAAGCACCCTGTGCTTAAGTCGATCAATGGAGCTTTTGGGGGGACTACCAACAGGATTTAACACATTACAAATTGGCACATGAATAACCACAATATTATAACCTTTTACTAAAGGTCATGTAATTTGTAGAAAACAGTAGACCTTTAAATTTATTTGATTGGTTGATCAATTAAGTCACGGAACAGATTAGGTTGCACTATCGCACGTGGGTGCACTATTGAGCTAGGTGCAGCCAAGCGGACAACATAAGAATTATGTAGGCTTGGGACTTGTGTTTAAATAAATAGTTTCTAAAAAGCAAACGCTTTTTACATGGAGCCTGATATGGGACGCATCCAAAGATCATAACAAACACGCGGGAGAAAAGAGAAAAAGATACCAATAGTGTGTTAAAGTCGGCAACAGTGTGTCCTTCGTGAGCGGTGAGAGCATATGTGGCAGTGTGGAGGTAAACTCTTTCTTGTTGTAAACTTTTTTTGGTCTTGTCGTAGTGAAAAGGGGGTAACGGTAGTTGCGCAACGTTCGTTTCTTTTAATGTGTAATATATATGATGTATATTTCTTGTGTCATGTGTGTGTAACGGTGTGTCTTGTCTGAGTGTATAGTGTTGTGATCTGTGAAGTCGGTATCTGATATTTTATATGTTAAGATGACGGAAAAGCTAGCAAGGGCTAAAGGCAGACACATTGGTCTTAGCACGTATTTAAAAACTCTTTTAATTGAATTAAATGGTTATGTAACTTCAGAAGACGGTGACTGTGAGCAATCTAAACTCCTCGGATTAAGAAACAGTGTGACAAGCCTTGTCGAGCAGTTGGCAACTGTCCATAATGAAATTTTATCCTTAGTTTATCCTGAGGACATCGGGCTAGAAATTCTTAATCACATGAAAGAGGTAGAACCTAGTTATCAAGTTTTGGCAAAGGCGGATCTAAAACTCGAAAAAAATTAAACGCACACAAAGTCTTAGTGATAGTAGCGCAAATTTCTCTTTACACACAGCTGGCTTAGATACAAGCAGAAGGGGCGCGCATTGTAAATTGCCAAAATTAGCATTACGTGAGTTTACGAGGAAACTTTTAGATTGGCAGGGATTCTGGGATCAATACCAAGTTTCGATTCATAATAATCTGACTATTAGTGATATAGATAAATTTAACTATTTGAAAGGTTGTTTGAAAGGGGAGGCCCTTTCCGCTATATCGGGGTTAACTTTGACATCAGAGAATTATGAAGAGGCTATCCAGGTATTAAAGGATATATTTGGGAATGAACAGATGCTCATTTCCGCGCATATGGAATCTTTACTTAAACTTAATAAAATTAATTCGGCGGACAACGTGAAAGAACTTAGGACCTCGTGCAATCACGTTGAAAATTGTGTACGGAATTTGAAATCTCTAAAGCTTGACACCAGTGGGTATGGTTCCCTACTTATACCAATTTTAAAAGATTGTTTGCCTGATGAAATTAACATGATTATTTCAAGACAGTTTTGTGGGAAGGTGTGGAACCTAGATAAGGTTATGGAGTTTTTCAACAATGAGCTTAGGGCTAAGGAAGATTGTAGTTCTTCGCTGAGAAATAAATCGCAACATTTTAGGAATAGAGAGCCCTATATCGCAAGTGGGTTGTTGAGTCAAACCGGCAAAGCCCCGTGTTTATACTGTAATGAGGGGGGACATTCCCATCAAAATGTACTAAAGTTTCTAATCACCAGTCTCGGAAAGACATTTTGCGACAAAAGGGAAGGTGTTTCATTTGTTTGGATTCGAGACACATTGCAAAAAATTGTAAGTCAACCTATGTTTGTAGACGATGTATTAAAGGTAAACACCACATTTCCATCTGCGGAACAACCTTGCCGGAACGGGATCCAAGTAAGGATGATGAGGATAGCAAAGGTCAGGGAGGAAGTGAATTTGTAGGTCATACTGGCTGTGACCAACAGGGTATATTGTTACAAACGGCTAGGGTACATGTATGCTTGGTAGAGGATACTGATTTTGAGATTAGCAATAGGATTTTATTCGATAGTGGCAGTCAGCGCTCTTACATCTCAGCTAAGGTTAGAGCCAGACTACAGTTAAAGACAGTCAGATCAGAAAAGGTTCTTATTAAGACATTTGGCCAGGATAATGATAGTAAAATTAAAAAGCTGGACGTTGTGCAGTTTAAGGTTAAGAATCGGACTCAAGATCCACTATGGTGGAAGCCTTATGTGTACCAACTGTAGTATATTCAAATTAGTTGAATTTCTAATTAAGTGTATATAAACCAGAACTACAATAAAGTCAAAGTCAGTTGTTTGTTAGTCCGATTGTGTACACATAATATTACATGGTGTCAGGTGTGAGTAACTTATGATGGAATTTAGTTTCTCGGGAAAAGGTCCGAGTGAAATGAATTTCGCAGCTACAAACGTTGCGGAGACATGGCGAAGATGGAGACAAAACATGGAGTTGTATATAGACGCCACGATGGCAAAGAAAACCGAGAAAGAGAAATATTTGTTTTTTCTGTTCTCGATCGGCGAAGCAGGACGAGAAATATTTAACACATGGATCTGGCCAAAAGTTGTCGATGACAGGGGCGAACCAACAGACGAAGACGAGATAACAGTAGCGGCTCTGTTTAAGAAGTTTGATGAATATTGTAAGCCCAAACGAAATCTAATTGTAGAGCGACACAAATTTAATACAAGACGCCAGAATCCTTGGGAATCAGTCGACCATTACATAACAGATTTAAAAACTTTGGCTGCATCGTGTGAATATGGCAATCTCCAAAACGATTTGATAACAAGTCAGATAGTTGCGGGAATCCATTCAGACAAAGTAAGAGATAGACTTTTAAGAGAAGGATCTGAACTATCGTTAGATAAAGCTGTGGGTATTTGTCGCTCGCATGAAGTCACTAAGCAACAGATGAAATTATTCCATGGGGAATGCGAAATCGATGCTGTAAACAAAGGGCTGAAGCAAAACAATAAAAGGGCGAATCAGTCTTCAACAAAGGGCGGTAAGCTCCTCAGAAATGACCAGAACAAAGACGGGAAAACGGACAGGTCAAATTTAGCTTGTAGGAATTGTGGCAGAATCCATGAGGTGAGAAAATGCCCTGCGTACAGCAAAGAGTGTTACAAATGCCAAAAGAAGGGTCATTTTGCGAAGATGTGTCGTTCGGTGCCAAAGCAAAATGAGATGTCAAACATAAGAGTTAGAGGGATCGCAGCACATTCGAACGATGATTTTGTTATTAAGGCAGTGTATGGTGAGGAAAACAACGTGGGAAAAGACAAGGAAGCTCTGGCTCCCTGAACCCCCCTGACTAATCAGTTTATTTCAATAACACATCATTTAGAAGAATTTAAGGATCTAGAATTTGCGGACTATGAGGGTGATTCAGCCACCCTCCCAGTGGGAATTTTAGTCGGGGTTGATTACTACCATACTTTCATGACAGGCAAAGTTGTAAGAAGCAAGCACGGTCCGGTAGCATGCGGCACAAGAGTGGGATGGGTATTAAGTGGTAGAATCGGTTCAGGTCTTTCTGACCTGCATTGTTTTAAGACCCATATTCTACGAGCTTCGGCTGAGAGTGAACAGATAACCGATATACTAAGACAGGATCTAGAAAAATTCTGGTCGGTGGAGGCTGTCGGTGCTTTAGAAGACTGTGTAGTCAGCCGGTTTAAACAAGACATAGGGCATGACGGGACCAGATACGTAACTAAGTTGCCTTTCAAGCCAGATCATGAACCATTATCCGATAATTTTAATGTTTGTGAAGGATGCTTAAAAGCTCTGAAGCCCAGGTTAACCTCTAAAGGGATTCTCATGGCGTATAATGAGATCTTTAGCGAGTATGAGAAAAACGACATAATTGAACGCGTTCCCTCACATGAGATTGCTAAGGAGATGGGTGGGGCCCATTATCTTCCTCACAGACCCGTTGTGCGTGAGGACAAACAGACTACAAAAATACGCGCAGTTTTCGATGCCTGATGCAAGGTTAATGGCCCCTCACTAAACGAATGCTTGTACTCAGGACCCAATCTTATTGCGAAGATTTTTGACATCCTGTTAAGATTTAGGCTTCATAAAATTGGTATATTAGCAGACATAAAGCAAGCATTTCTTAATATCGCTATATCTAGTGAACATAGAGATTTTGTGCGGTTCTTGTGGTATGATCTCGATTCGGAAGATGAGAAAATAGTAATTTATCAGTTTCTAAGGGTAGTTTTTGGACTAACGAGTAGCCCATTCCTATTAAATGCGACTTTAAGACACCACCTCAGTAAGTATGTGTCGACAAATGCAGTTGTAGAGCGTATTGGCGAAGATTTATACGTAGATGATCTAGTTAGTGGGAGCGATAGTGTAAGCGCGGCTAAGGAATTATGTGACACCATCAAAGCTATACTACAAGAGGCAGGGTTTGATTTACGTAAGTGGGTAACTAACAATCCAGAACTTCGTAAATATATTTCTTCGGCAATGGGTGAAACACCAGATTCCCAGCCATCAGGGGATATGACTTATTTTGAAGCAATGTTGCCCAATTTAGTTACTCCAAATCAAAGTGTATTGGGCATTTCGTGGGACACACGTACTGATGAGTTTGTCTTCCAGTTTGATTCCTTTGTGAGCTAATGTGCTCTTATGAATCAAACAAAGCCCAATTTATTAAGTGCATCGGCTTTGATTTACGATCCATTGGGTTTGATTGCTCCGGTTACTGCCAGAATAAAAACAATTTTTCAATTATTGTGCAAGGACAAATTAGATTGGGATGATCTCATTCCATCAAACCTTGCGGCATTATGAAACAAATTTCTAGAGGAACTAAAACTTCTCCGGGAAGTAAGACAAGGTCGATTTGTCTTTCACTTAAATTTTCCTCCGGCGGACCGAGTTGAACTTCACGGTTTTTGTGATAGTTCAAAGCAAGTATACTGTGCGGTTGTTTATCTTAGGTCTGTTTACAAACAAAATGTCAAGGTGTCTTTTCTAGCGGCTAAGACCAAGGTTGCTCCTTTAAAAACCCTTTCCATTCCCAGGTTAGAGTTGTTAGGCTGTTTGTTGTTGAGCAAGTTAATTAATGAGGTGGTGAGTGGTATACGGGGTCGTGTAGAGTTGGACGAAACATTCTGTTGGTCGGATTCAGAGATGGCGTTGTGTTGGATAAAGGGAAAAGAAAGAAGCTGGAAACCTTGGGTAGAGAATCGAGTTGTTTCAATTAGGAAGGTTGTTGGTCGTGACCAATGGAATTTCATTAAAGGAGAAATCAATCCTACTGATATCCCCACCAGGATAATTTGGTTGAGTGTTTCTCCGGATGTTGGTTCACAGGTCCTACGCTGTTGTTGGGTCAATCTGTTTGCATTAGTCATTTTTCTTGGGCGGGAATGCTGGTGAAGAGGTTACGGTAACCTGTTCTACTGAGGCCAGTGTCAACACTGCAATACGAAACAACACACGAGATGAAACGGGTTCATTAGTTGCCGTCATTGACTGCACTAGGTATAGCTCATTGAAAAAGTTGATTCACACCACCGGTTATATCATAAGATACCTAAACAATCTACGAAAGCGAGCGAACAAGCAAGAGGGAGTAATCACGGACAGTGTTCTAACGGCGGATGAATACAACAACGCATTAGCGAGTGGATCAAAGAGGAACAATCAGTGTTAAAAGAACAATCTAACTTTGCTAACTTTCGTTCTTCTTTGAATTTGTACGAGGACAATGACAGTCTCCTGCAGTTAAAGGAACGGTTTGCCAATTCACATTTGGAGTACCAAGAACAGCACCCAATGATACTTCGAAGCATAGAGAGCCACTTCACACGTTTACTTATCCACGACGCACATGAAGCCAGTATGCACCATGGAGTGGAGTCGACCTTGGCAAGAGTATGGGCAACCTACTGGATTGTGAAAGGAGGAAAGAGTGTGAAGGAAGTCCTCAGAAAGTGCGTGGTTTGCAAACGGTACCAAGGAAGACCCATGCGTGCTCCTTCATGTCCTGACCTGCCGCAGACCAGAATCGATCATTCGGGATTCGCGTTCCAAGCAACGGGCTTGGATTTTGCGGGACCTTTATTTGTGAAGGAAGGCTTGGGCACGGTTAAAGTATACATTCTTTTGCTGAAGTGTGCTACGAGCAGAGCTATTCACCTCAAACTCGTGTATTCAATGACAAGTGACGGGTTCCTACGAGGGTTCCGACGATTCGTATCTCGGAGGGGTGTGCCTGATCTTATCATCAACAACAACTTTAAGACTTTCAAGTCGGCAGAGGTCAAGCGGTTTATGTCATGTCAAGGCATAAAACAACAGTTTATTCTCCCAGCGTTTCCATGGTGGGGTGGATTTTACGAGCGCCTCGTACCGTCAGTAAAGTCCTGCTTGAAGAAGACACTCGGGAGGGCGCATACAAGGTTTGAGGAGCTCCAGACTGTTCTGTGCGAGGTGGAAATCGCAATAAATAATCGGCCCTTGGCGTATGTCAGTGATGACGATCTGGATGAACCGTTTACGCCATTCCATCTAATGCATGAGCACGGTTATTGCAAGTGGATGAAAGAGATGAACGTTTCACTCACGGCGAGCCTCGGACTGTACAAGCAACGATTAAAACATTTGAGGAAAATCCTCAAAGATTGTTGGACACAGTTTCGGAGGGAATACATAAACGAGCTGCGACAGATGAATCTTTACCGGAGGAGAAAAACCGGTTCGCGAGATCTCACAGTTGGCGATATCGCGTTGATCAAAGATGACCCACCTTCACTGCGAGCGCAGTGCAGGATGGGAAGAGTTCTTCAGCATGTGAAGGGGCGTGATGGCGTGGTTAGAGAGGCCAAACTCAAGGTCCTCGCGAAAGGAGGAGCGCAGACATGGTTTATTGACCATTACAAAAGTTGATACTGTTCGAGATCGTTGAACGCAATGATACGACAGATAAAGAAGGGGACGAAGACACAAATGAAGAAACAGGCGAAACCAGGGAAACGGAGTTGGAAACGGAAGATCAGACCACAGGAAGGAGACCACCGAGGAAAGCAGTGATCCAAGGAGAAGAATTACGTAGACTCTGCGAACAATATTCATGAACATTCACTATAGTTAACGACTTTCTTTGGATGTAGAAAACAGTAGACCTTTATATTTATTTGATTGGTTGATCAATTAAGTCACGGGACAGATTAGGTTGCACTATTGACAGATTAGGTTGCATGTGGGTGCACTATTGAGAAGTCAGCCAAGCGGACAACATGAGAATTATGTAGGCTTGGGACTTGTGTTTAAATAAATAGTTTCTAAAAAGCAAAGAGTCTAACGCTTTTTATATAATTGATGTGACCTGGTCATCTTATATTGATGGTTTTAATATGAACCTCTTAACGTATCAACTAGTTTTTGAAAAACGTACCTATATGTGATTGATGTTGAGTGCAGACAATATTATCTCACAAGAAACAATGAAGACTTAAAGGCTGCTAAGTAATAAGCATGTAAAATCAATTATCCACTATTTACCCAAATCATTATTTTATTGTTCAAATATATTCAAATATATCAGATGATATAATATTAAACAGGAAACATTGAACAAGGAAGAATTTTTAAATGTTGTCAAAAAAGGATGATAATGAGGTATAAAAACACTGATATACAATTGAACATTGTTTGTTTTTGAACTCATCAATTGTTAATTCATGCAGAGTGTCTCAAAAAAAAGGTAATCCAACTTCAACTTATGAATATAAATATAAATACTATTTATACTATGAAAGAACAGTGTTTTAACTATCGAATGCCATGTTGTTTTTAAAATATGGAGGGAAAATGAGAAAATGAGAGAGCATTTAAAAATCTTGGTCAAAGTCACATATTTTCACCTCTGAGTCAAGTGAGACAAAAGAAAAACAAATTAATAATAAAGGTGTCAAAACGTATTTACACACGATTATTTAAAAGGCCACATGCCATTCCACATGCCTTCAACCAGAAATGTTCCCCGTTTCGTAAAAGCTAGGTTTCAACAATCCCAAGAGAACAATTCTTGCAGTTTCACATTGATTATGTCAATGCATTGCTTTTGTGTAGTTGCTAGGCTGTAATTTCCTGACTAAAGTCCCCAAAGGGCCTATAATCATTTTCAAAAGGTTTGTACAAGCTTAATTCCCAGAGATGAAAGAATGTGATTTCCACCGAGATTATTTAACATGCTTGCATTCCCTCACAGGGTGTATAAGAAAGTACCTACTGTTGCAGTTAAGCTTTTGTTGGAATTTAAATGCCTTATTATTATACTAAACCCACAGATGGGTAAAATTGAAAGCGAGATGTTAATATGCATGCCCATTGCACATACAGGGTGTCTCAAAAAATTAAATGATACACCCTGTATTTTAGAAACAACATGACATTCAATAGCTAGAACTTTGTTGTTTTACAAAACCAAAAAATAATGCTCCTCTGTAATGTAATTCATGCACACCAGCACGCTAAAGTTGGATGACCTTTTTTTTAGACACCTTGTGTATATCAGACATTTCAGTCTGGCATTGGAAAGTTTTGTACAGCAGTGCAATTGCTTGGTAAAGACAAAGTTAATCTGCAGGTACTCACCACACCACTGAATCTACTCCAAATGGATGATGGTTATGCACTAGATGGAAAATTTATTTCTCCAGTTCTAGAAAAGAAAAATATGTAGTAGATACTATAAACATTCTCAAGAAAGTTAGTGTAGTCTACTATTGTGAATATGATTATACCGTAGGGAATGCATATACACTTTTTTACTAAAATAAACATGTAGCAGACTTGATGCTAGTTGCAGCGGGAAGGAGAGCCTCTGTACTATATTTATATACATTTTAGTTCATACACATAAACCATGCAGCTATTAAGTATAGGCATAAGACATAAGCTATTAAGTATTAGCACCCAGTTTCATGAATGTTTTAATAATTAAATATCCACATATCCGTAGCTTCTTTCTTTAATTCTAACAGGCTTGATATGTGTTTAGTAAAATCAAAATAAAAATAAAAGAGATTATGACTTTGCATGTCTGGTTATTGGATCAACCTCTTCTAGTATTCATGCCTTTTAAAATTTTTTTTACTTGTGATGCCATATTAATGTACGTCACTTCTCAGCACAGATAAAATAGTGGACCATTGTGGTATGGGACCTCACACCTGCATAGCTCAATAATATTTGTAATATTTTCATAATATTATTATGAAATAATATTATTATATTATATATTATATTATATATATATATATATTATATTATATTATTATATTATTATTATATATTTATATTATTATTTATATATATTATATTATATATATATTATATTATATATTATTATATATATTATTATATTATTTATTTTATATTATATATTATATTATATATTATATATTAATATTATTATATTATATTATTATTTTATTATATTTTCATAATATTATTATATTATATTTGTAATATTTTCAATAATATTTTCAAGTCTATTTGTAATTTCAAGTCTATTTGTAAAAATTAATGTTTTATTAGACTTAAATACCCACAAATGACATACATAACATACATTCATTGATGCATTGATTAAATCCAAGCTTGCAGTGGCTGGGGAGAAGTATTAAGTGACTAATATTCATATATTCACTGATTCACATTTTGCATTAATTTCTTTTCAAATTGATTGTTTTTACAATACTGTGTTACCAGAAGTTTATAAATATTAAAAATTTTACCAGTATGCACACAACAGTTTAATTGTTTGGTGTGTGACACATTGTAAAACATCTATCCAATGTAAATTTGCAAAGAATGATATTTTTAATTGACATATCTTCATTTATTATAGGGCAAACTGAGTATAATACTTTAATTCCCACATACTTCCCCATCTATTCTTTATTCTCACTATGACTTAATGTAAAATGATACCTTAGGTAAAAATAGATGACTTATCTAAAGTTTATAGTTCATGGTATTTATAGTTACATTACAAATTGAATCTGAAAAAACTTTAATGACTTTGTTTAAAGTTATAAATTGGCCACTAATATTTATCATTAAAAAAATGTTTTCATCCTAACTTTGTTTTGATACCAGAAAATCATTAATTCAATTTAGAGACCTATAAAACCCCTTGTAAATTAAGGCACTGGAGATTCCATATATAAAGCAACATGACAAGCCTTATGCCCCTAACTTTAGACTATTTAAAATTAAAAGTTGACAACATGCATTTCAAGGGTAAGGAGCTGTTAATTACTAAAACAAGGCAAACTTCATACTGATAAAAATACAATAAATCTGGGGCTTTTTAATAAATCTAGAGAGTAAAATGTTGGAAAGCCATGCAGTTTAAGAAATGGCAAGAAACAAAAAATAGCTTATAGGCGTGGTCAAAATGGTAAGTTGTATAAAGACCGTTTTCCATTACAGCCGTATATCTCGTAGCGACTAGCGAAACGTATACGTAGCATATTCCTTTGTTACCAAGTCATGAGTGCCAGAGTTCTAGCCGGGTGGTCAGGAAACAATGATGTACACCACGATTATTCGATTGAAATGGAAAACAGCCTTAAGATTCATTTATATTCTATGAAGTGTTATTATTCGTCAAAAATCTGGAGATTTGAGCAATGAGCATACCTTCAGTTGACAACTGACAAGCTTTAATATATTGTAAAATAAATCATAACTGGCATGGACAATCATGAATCAATCATAAACAAAGCTAGTTAGTATACTCACATGAGACCATTTTTAATTCACCAAGTGATTTCAGATTTTCAGTTTCAGAAATTCAATTTTAGTCTTGAAAAACACCGTAACAGTTGAGAGATGCCATTGTAAATCCGATAATCATCTCATTTAATTTTGTTACATTGCTCAACGGTATTAGAGAGCTTTAGCAGCGACTACGAGTACAAGTACGAATTTTGACCGCGCGCAGCTTGGCAGGAGGAAGTCGTAGTCGTTTCCGTTTAAATTTTTGTTTAGCATAAGTAAACAAAGAAATTGCAACAGCGACGAGTGTTGTTAGTATGGCTGTCAGCAACAACTTGCTTTTCGATGCAGCTACGGCCCTTTTTGCCAATGATGCTATTGATGAACTGGACTTTATAGCTGTATATGATCAACTAAACCGAAAGTCCCCACAATATCAGTACTGGGAGTACGAAAGAGTGGAAACGCAGCTGCAATCAATGACCAACGATGAGTGCAGGGCGGACGTTAGAGTGGATTTGGCAGATCTCCCTGTTTTGGCAGAAGCCTTGCAGATCCCAGAGAAGTTTGTTTGCCCTAACAGGGATGGAGGGTTTATGTGTGGGGTTGAGGCATTTTTCTTACCCATGCAGATTTAGCAATATAATGCCTCGCTTCGGTCGATCTGTGTCAGAGTTGAGCTTAAAGGAGCTATGTCACTATCTGCGCATCTTTTCTGTGCATTCTCAACTTGAAAAAGTCAGACTGACTTTTTCATTATTGTTATTTCAATATGGCGGAAATGCTAGAGCGGCCACTGCATGGCCGTGGTGGAAAGCGAAAGAATTCTGGACGCAAAAGAAAGTACGAAGACGACAATACCAAGAAAAAAATGTGGAACCGTGAACATAGACGGATTTATTTAAGCCGAAAACTCCATGAGACTTGGAAGGAATCTAAATTATCTCGCTGGGTATGATTCGTATAGCGACAGCGATTTTGCGTCCCATTTGCTTTCACTCGAATATTGCAGGAGGTATTATTTCTACTTTTTCTTACGTTTTTCGTTTTATCAGCATTGGATTTTAAGCGAAATAAATAGCTGAGATCTAAACATTTAGGACTGCAGTGAACAAATGTTTTGAAAATCGAAACAAGTGGACGAAAGAGATAGCTGA